CTGGTCAGAGCATCCGAGCTCGGACTGCTGTCCAGAGCGTCAACAGAGTGGTGCACTGTGGGATAGCTCCCGGAGCTATTAGCGTTGAATTCCATCCACACCTACCCAAATTCGACATGGCCATGCCGAATTTAGCGCTACTCCCCTCGTCGGGGAGGAATACAGAAATCGATTTAAAGAGACTTCTATGTCGAACTAAATAGCTTCGTTGTGTGGACGGGTGCAGGGTTAATTCGATTTAACGCTGCTAAATTCGACATAACCTCCTAGTGTAGACCAGGCCTAAGACATAGTGAGTTGTTGAAGATACAATATACGGAAAGGTTTCAGAGTAGCAGCCGTGTTAGTCTGTATCCGCAAAAAGAACAGGAGTACTTGTGGCACCTTAGAGACTAACAAATTTATTTATTTATAAGGAAAGATTGATAAGGAAATAAGCAAACAACCTTAGGGCCTCAAATATGAAATAAACACCATTATGAACCTGAAGCTCATACCAGAAAGATCAGCTGAAATGGTGAAAACAGTACACTCGTGTTTTATTGACTTCCAAAAAGCATTTGACAGAATCTACCACTACAAATTGCTCAACATAATAATGTCTGTAGGGATTGCTGGATATGAACTCCAAGTAATAAAACAATTATACTGGAATCAGAAGGCAATTATAATGGAGATGAAAATGAAAATCTATAGTGATCAAGAGAGGACTGAGACAAGATTGTATAGTGTCACCAACTTTATTCAACACTTATAGCGAGTGATTGATTAAATTAATTGAAGAAACAGAAGACGATATTAAGATGAATGGAAAGATGGGTGAATAACTGTGACGAAGTGGGGATTTGTTATGTTGTATGTGAGCCTATGTGAGTCTGACTGTTTTGCATGAATGCTCTGTGTGCCTCCGTTTCCCTGGGAATAAGCATGTGTGACCTTCGTGGGGGTTGCTCCAGCTACCTGCATGGATGCTATGGCCGCCCCTTTGTAACCTGAGACCCAGGAGGGGGATGTGACGAGGTGACTCTTGGCCCGGGAAGCAAGACAAAGGCCAGAGGAGGAGCAACGGGCAGGGCAGGGGCCAGGCAACTGGAAACGAGTTGGTCATGGCTGGCTTGGAGCTCGGGGGAGGACCAGAGCCCTGGCTCTGGGCTCCCCTCCCCCCAAGATGGACTTGGCTGAAAGTCACTGATTTCTGTGCTAAAAAGTTTTGTCCTACGCTGTGTTCCTGTCAACTAATAAACCTTCTGTTTTACCAGCTGGCTGAGAGTCACGTCTGACTGCGGAGTTGGGGTGCAGGGCCCTCTGGCTTTGCCAGGATCCCCGCCCAGGCAGACTTGCTGTGGAAAGGAGATGCTGAATGCTCTGAGGTCAGACCCAGGAAGGTTGAAGGTGTGTAAGCTTCTTGCCCTGGAGACAGTATGCTCAGAGAGCGGAGGCATGCTCCCCCAGAGTCCTGACTGGTTTCATAGGGAGTAGTTCCAGAGCATTGCCCCAGTGACTCCGTGACAATAACATTCACTATGTATATGACAGTGCTGTTGGCTGAGGCAGAAGAAGGTCTGATGAAGTTAGTGGAGATTATATATGAATATAACAAAGACTCCATGCATCTGAAGAAGTGGATTTTTTACCCACGAAAGCTTATGCCCAAATAAATCTATTAGTCTTTAAGGTGCCATCTACCTCCTCGTTGTTTTTATAACAAATACTATGGTCTAAAGTTGAATGCGGACAAGATAAAAACTATGGTGGTATGCAAGGATCCTTGGAAAATATGCAAGATTCCAGTAAACGATATATCCATACAGCTAGTGAGAAATTATTGCTACTTATGAAGCATCATTACAGAAGATGGAATATTGGATACTGAGGTCAGCACCAGACTAGCAAGAGTGAAAGAGACATTCTGAAAGAATAAACATCTGATGAGAAGGGACATAAATCTGAATACTAAATTCTCATGTTTACAAAACTTACATTTGGTTTATGTTAATTACAACTGTGAAACATGGTCATTCAAACAATTGATAATACAGAAACTACAATCCTTTGAATTATGGTGTTATGCAAGAATTCTGAAAATATCATGGATAGACTGTTCGCAGTGTTGTTGTAGCTGTGTTCATCCCAGGATACAGGAGAGACAAAGTGCATGAGGTAATATCGTTGATTGGACCAACTTCTGTTGGTGAAAGCAGCAAGCTTTTGAGCTCCACTGAATTCTTCTTCAGGTCATGGATAGACTGTGCAACCAACAAAAAGATATTGGAGATGATTGGAACTTAGCAAATGCTAGTCAGAAAGCTTATCCAAAGGAAGATTTTATTTGCAGGGCACATTTTAAAAAGTTCAGCAGGCAATGCATGTTTACGAGCTCTGTAAGCGAAAGTTGATGGCAGAACATGAGGAAGAAAAAGATCTTGGATAGACAATGTGGTATCCTGGGTGAATCAAATGGACTATTCATCCACAAAGAGATTAACAGAGGATTGTTCGGAATGGGCAACCATGGTTGGTAATCTCCAGTAATGGAGAGGCCACATAAGAAGAAGGCCTTTTTACACTGCCTAAGTGGTATAAAGGGGCCTCAGGGTAAATGAGAATCTGGCTCAAGGTGTCTACAGACTCTCTGCCTCCCCAATATGTCTCAAGTTTATTCTGGAGGGATCATCTTAATGTGAGAGGGGGATATTCTGTCTCCATGACCATTCAATCCTTAGGGTATGTTATGGTGTGGACTGAGATCGTCAGACCCACTCACATGTTTTTTTTTTTTTATCCTGTTACCTACAGATGATTTTTTTAATAAGATTTTGTAAAATGCAGACCATTCAAATTGTTGTGGAGCATACATACATACATACATAAAAAACAACACCATGCTCAATTAGCCACCTGAAAAACATCCATTGGGCTGTGTTGGCCGATCAAACACAGGTCCTCTGCCCTAGAGGACCCCTGACTTCAAAGAGAAAGAAGTAACTGTCAGTCCAGGACAAAGGTGTACCCCTACTTCCATGCCCAATCTCCAAGTACCATTCCAAAATCCAGATCATATTGCCAGTCCTCTAAAGCAGTCACATGCCTTGGGTTTCCATCATTTTTGAACACTGATTATCTATGACACAGCCTTGGCAACACTTCCTTACATTAAACATCTCCAGCTTTCACACCATGAGTTTGAAATTGCTCTTCATCTTCTCTCAGATTATGGCCCACAGTAATGTTTTGCTCTGGTGTTTATCTGTAGATTCTCTTTTCTTTTCTATCATCATTCACCATCTAAACCAATCTGCATCTCTATCCTGTGAGATAAAAGTACAGTAGGTATATTGCAATTATAATCCTATGAAGGTATCTTATTTAGGACCATCATGCTTGGATTCATGAAGTTTCCTCTTCCTCCTTCCATCTCTAGGATGTGATCCACCCCCACCCACTCTGTGAAGGTGTTAATGTGTTTGGCCTACTCAAAAATTGCAGATGATGTTGGAGCTACCAGAGGCACAAACCATCTGCATGGAGGTTTTGTTCCTCAATTTGCCCATCTGGCTTCATGGCACCACAGGGTCTGATAAAATCCCTGTGGGTGGGTTCACATATTAGAGGAGGAATCCAGCAAGTTAACATTGACTAAAGACATGTGAATTTTGCAGTTGGTGGAATCTTTGCTTTAGAGATTGATTCACCAGGAACCAGGCCCAGCATTTTCAGATCCCTGGCGCCTGAACCCAGTGAAATACCTACTGGTAGGCAGCCAAAGAATTTGGAGAAGGGAGGAGGGGAAAAACATGTCACAAAGCGAGCACTCCCTCATACTATGCATCTGCAGCCTTGGTTTCTGGTTCCCTCCACTCAGGGAAGATGAGGAAAGCATGTGGGGCTCAGCTATTTCAGCAAATGAGAACCTAAAAATAATGGCCTACAATTGACTGTAATCGTATTAGTTTGCTTTGCATTTAGATTTCTCAATGGCTGCCTTTCAGAAAGGCTCATCTATCCACTGCAATGCAGATCTTTAGACTTGCCAATTGCAATTTTGTCATCATATAAATAAATACTAATTGTAATCAGACGCTTATCTTGCTACCATAGAGCCTAAAGTTACGCTTTCCCTTTTCCCTTTGTAGCAGAGGCCTCAGAAGTGCTAGAAATGACATAGAGTAAAAAAGAGAACTTCAAAATAAAAAAACAAAGTTCCAGGATCATCACAACTCAGATTTTATTCAACAGCAAAGTTGAAGGAAATATTGGATATTTTTTCCTCCCCAGACAAATGTTTCCAATGGATATTAAAAAATAAAAACATCATCTCTAAATAAACTCACCATGTAATTATTTTTCATTAAATATATTTGTTTGGCCAAAGAACAAAAACAAACAAGTTAGAACCCGTTGTACAAAAACAAAAAATGAATCCCTTGCAAACTTGTAACACTGTAGCAATGATGATGCCGATTCAGCTGTCTCACCATTTTCATTAATCTGTGGAAACTATGATTTTACTTGGAACCAAAAAAGAAAAAAAACCTTGGATAGCATTAAGCCAATTTTAGAGGCAATTGAGGCTTAGAATAGCTACAGGGAGAGAACAGAACTAGTGCCTTCATTCACAATTTGTGCTAGTAATTTGGGAGAAATATAGGGCTATTTAAGAGACGGCAGAAAAAGAAGTTAGAAGCATTGCAGTGTTATAGTGCACAGTACAGCGAAAACCTGCAAATGACTCATTCTAGGAAACTATAACTCTGGCAGAGCACAGAGGATGGAGACACTGTTGCCAATGTAAAGGATAATGACAGTGATGATGGTGCAGAAGTTTAAGCAGTTAATACTTTTCATCTTTTTTTGGAATCAGTTGTGAGCCGACTCTTGGGCTGGGCTGGGAAAATCTCGCTCTCTCCACCTTCCACTTACAGGAGCTGCTTCTCCTCTCTACCTCCCAACTTCCAGATAAAGCACCTGCCAGTGCCAGGTTTGGTTTCGCAGGCATACAGTTTGGAAGCATCGTATTTTATTTAGAATGCCTATTCCAGCATTAAAAATTTAAAAGTTCCTCTGATGGACGCTGCTTAGTGGTCTTCGTGTTAGCCACATCCAATGGACTGCAATTAGAAGTTAATTAAAGCAATGTAGTTTTTGGCTAGCAACGGGGGAGATGGGATATGGGGAAAGGAACAGATGTAGGGAATGGAAAGAAAAGTGAGTGCTTTAACTACAGTCCATAATCCAAGGTGGGCTTCTCGCTCTCTTTGTTTAATCTTTCCAGTTATAATATTTCCAGTTTAAATGCGAGTTTCAGTGGGCAGTTTCAGTTACAGTCATAAACAAAATCATAGTTGCTGGGCTCCTTTGGAATTGGTGGGGGAGCATCAGGAATCTGTATATTCTCCAAGTCGAGGAGACGCAGCTTTATCTCCATGCTGAGCAGTGTGTCCAAGTCATTTCGTGTCAGGTCACTCATCATATCCTTCCCAAGGAGGGCATTCAATCCATCGGTCCAGATACAGTACTGCCATGGAAGACAAAAACCTCCATTAAGTCCAGACCTAACCTACTTTCCCATGCAAACAAATCAGCCAACCGTGTCATTTCCAATGCATTTATGCTCCAGTGACTTAAGAACATCTCTCAGATTAAACTAGACAGATGTGCTTAAGCACTTCTTTGGCTTAATTTTAAACATATTTATTAGCTAGTGATTTAGTGTGAAACAGGTAAATGTTTCAAACAGCTGGTCAGAATATGGTAACAAAAATTCTGGGAAACAAATTGAAAGAAATGAAAAATGTTCCATTAAAAAAAAATGTTGGGGAATTTCTCTGGTGTGTGGGCTTTTTGTTTGGAAAATTTCAAACATAGTGAAAATTTTCTTTGTTTTTAGTCAAAACATTTTTGATTTTTTTTTAAAAAGGCATTTTTTCAAACTGAAAATTTTCACATTCAACCAGCTCTAACATTCGATAAACCAGAAAAATGTATACAGTAAACCAAGTAGTTTCTAAAAGACACTTCTCCTTCAATATCAAGAGTACCACTTTGTAGTGTGATATTCAGTTTTCCCTTTGCACACTAATCAAACAACCCATCTATTTTTAATCATAAACCATTAGGAACTGATCCAAGTTTCATGTAGTCTAAGGGAATCTTTTCATTGACTTCAATGGGAGTCAAATTGGACCCGTGTTGATCTAGTATTTAGCTACATGGAAAAATATATTTGCCATAAATGCTAATTATATTGTGGAAACTAAAATATATATTATAGGGAAAAAATCCTACACTATCAGGGAGGTGGATTAGAAAACCTAACAGGACTTTTCAGATATCTAATTTTTGTGATATCACAATCATATATTTGATTTTAAAATACATTTGATCTGATCAAATATATTTCACATCATATATCCAGTATACAAATATGTAATATAGTATATAACTACACACTGTACATAGGTGAGGTTGCGTACAAATACATATTAAGTATGTGTATATGTATGTGTGTGTATACAAACTCACATACACAAGAACAAGGATACACAAACACACACACATATATGTAACCTATACATAAGCACCTCTTTATGTTAATAAATATGTATGGATCTATTTTCCAGAGCAGAAAACTAATGTTCAATGTTCTGTCCTTCATAAAAAATTAAATGTCAAGTTATCTTGGCATAATTCTAAACAGCTTTGTTTGGCCTGTAAAGAACCTCTTCTCTTGCTCGCTCGCTCTCTCTCTCTCTCTCTCTCTCTTTTTTTAACAGGAAATGCAATCTCACTCCAAAGCTGACAGCTTGAGATAAACATAAGCTGAATAACTGTTTTAAATAAGCAACAAACCCAGGAGAGGAAGGTGAACAAGAGTCAACTTCTATCAAATCACTTCCATTTATTACTAGAAACCATTTACGCAACTATGAACAAAAGTACTTGAATGGTATCGTCTAAGAATAAAAAGATTTCAATCATGAACTCATGTGTCCTAGCTTACAAGGGGAAAATTAAATCCACGATAAATGCATTTTTATCTTACAAATGTTTCTGCTAGATTTATGCCAAAGGATGGACTTTAAAATTAGCCAACCGTGTGCTATAAGTTGTAGCCAAACTTACAGATAGCTACAGCTGATTGTGTGCTGCACAAGAAAAGAAAAAGAATATTGATAAGAATCAGAGAAAAAAAATCTCTGTCTATGTCTCATGTTTTTAAAACATGAGAGTTAACACTTCAAAATCCTCGAGTAAAATCCTGCACCAGTGAAGTCAGTGGCAAAATTCTCATTGCATTCAACAGAGCCAGGATTTCACCTTTCATGTAGACAAGGCAAGTCGTAGTGTTAATGTGTTAGCTGCTTAGTGGGGAATTTATGGTTAAAGCTCTGTGCGGATATAAAAATGTGGATCTGCATCTGCCAGAATCAACCTGCAATCCATCCCACGATCTGCTAGCCATCTTTTACCTGTATCCACGTCAGCAAGTCTTCTCAAGGACTAGCGACAGAGGGTGCGGGGGGAAGGGAGCGAGTGGGGGTGCGGGGTCTTGCAGGGAAGAGGCAGAGCAAGGGTGGGGACTGGGGGTAATGGGCAGTGAGGGGGGGGCTCAAGGAGAAGGGGTGGTGCAGAGGGGTGGGGAGGCTGGGGGCCTGGGCAATCGCATCGTGTGCTGCTCCCGGGTGCTCGCGAGCGACGGCACATGGCAGCAGCAGTGCGTGTTGTATCGCAGTGAGTCGGAGGGGTGGGGCGCCGGGGCCCCGCCTGCTCCAATCCCCATGGTCGGGGGTGGGCCCTGCTGCCCAGGAGCCGGCAGACTGAGATTGGGTGCGCAGCCAGTGCTACCAGGCCGGGCCATGGTGGGGATGTTCGAGCTGCCCAAGGGGCCCAAGCTGCTGGGCAGGAAGCAGTGCGGTGAGCGTGTGGTGCACAGCCCAGACTCCGACATGCCACCCAGCCCCAGCTACTGGCCACTGGCCCCGAGCATGCTGCGTCCCCCAGGCTGGCCGAGCCAGACGCCGCCACCCGGGCACTGCCAGCGAAGAGAGCCCTGTGTGGTTGTATCTGCATCCGATCCACTATCCGCAAAAATGGTCTGCAGATATCTGGTTCACATTGACCAGCTAATAAGGTTTCAAACTTGAACTTGCCCTGTCCACAATAGGATTTTAAATCGTGCTAAGCTATCATGTTTTAAATATACATTTTTTCTCTAGAGTAGACAGGCCTCCAAGAAAGAAAAAAAACCTGACCTGAAAATAAAATTCCTGCTGAACACACAGCTCCATCGTGTTTTGCAAATTCACAGTTTCCTTAAACATTTCTATAAGAAACATTTATTGAAAATGGTTTTGCCAGGATTCACTTTATCAGGAGAAGTAAAGGAATAATTGCAAAAGAAATTGAGGTGCTTTTAGGTGTGGAAGCACGCTGGAAAGCTCTCCATGTAATATCTGATCATCTGATGTAACCAGCGCTCCCTCAGTGCAAGCATCTCAGTGCACTGGTGAGGGCAGAGCCATAGTCCTCCTCCGGTTCAAACATAACTGATTTGGAGCCCCTTCCAGCTCCTTGCAACCTTCTTCTGGCCACCTATTATGTGGGTGCAGTGGATGGAGAAAGGGACTCTGTCTCATCTCCACTTTGGCAAGTGAACCTAATCAGACATATATAATTTAGGAAACTGCTAGAAATCCTATTGAGCTGGTGGAAAAATTACAGCATTGATTCAGAGGTATTTCTTTCAACGTACAAAACAGACTGAGAGCCACTGAAGAATCAACTCAATTTAATACAGACTAATTTTAATGAAGTGGCAGTGAAACCTAATTATAACCAGTCTCACTAGCTTCTCTGTCAAAATACAGGGATGGAATAATCCACCTTTTTTTGGGGGGGGGGGGGTATTCAGTCAAAACCAGCTCAGCATTCAAATGAAAAACAAATATGATGGTGTGATCTCAAAGTGTTCAGCAATGAGCTTTGACAGATGGCTAAGCTGTATTGCCAAATTTAAAAGATCATAAGTCAGGCCCCCAAAACAATGATGGTAGCTCAGACATCATGAGTTTAAACAATTGGGTTCATTTTATTTGCTTTCTGGTTTTTAAGCCTTTAAACACACCAAATATTGAGAGACAAATCTCAAAAGTTGGGAACACTGCTAAGTTAAGTTAACACTGCTAAATTAAGACCAATTAGGACATTTCCATACCTCCAGCAGAAACTCAGGCTGGGTTTTTGGTGGGGGAACCTCTGATGCTAAGTGCTGCAGGAAGTACTGGCCAGCAGGGCCTGAGTGGCAGCCCCTTGCAACCAGCTGATTGGCCCATGCCGATATATAAACCAGGAAACCATTACAGGAAGCTGTCTGAGCAATGACACTGACTGCCTGCTTCCTCCCCCTTCAGACCTTGCCTTGCTGTGAACCCGACACCGGTTCATGTCTGACTCTGTTATTTGCCTCACTCTTGCTTCCTAGCAACCTGACCTGGCTCAACTCCCACTCCGCTACTCGTCTCTTCACCACAACTTGGTAGCTGATCCATGCAGGCTGGCTGCCCACGACCCAGCCCTGACACTGGCCCTTGCTTTTCTGGTCACAAACGCAGACTTTTTCAGGCATGCCAATTTTGTTTTAAATGAGCTGGACAAAGTTGAAGGTAAAAATAGAGGAGGATATTTAGGAAAAGATTACAAGGCCTCTGTTAGTTCATTAGAAGATGGCAGTAGTCATATGCTGCATTTTCCGGTGGAGGTGACTGAAATATTTACTAATTTCCATGACAATTCGCCCCTAAGAGCCAACATGGACTATAATTAAATTGTTGCAGAATTTATGGCAGAAAGAACCCAACATGTGTCCAATCTAGAGGTTGAAGAGGACTACGTCTTGTCTAAAACAATAACTCTTAACAGTAGCTGAAGCTTTGGGAGCTCTAGAAACGTTATTGTTAACTTCTCTTAACTGAAGATTTGCCATCAAATCACTTCCTGGAATGAAAAAGCTTCTAAGTGACATTGAAAAATAAATCCTCAGGAAAAGCCAAATGAGCTTCTATCAGAATTAACATCTGTTTGAAAGATTTTAGCCAGAATTTCAAATGTGAAAGCTGCATACCTAATGCACTTTAGTTGTCCTTTCTTGTGCTAAGCATCCTTCTAAGTTTATGTCTGGAAATCCCAAATACTTTGAGACAATCATTTGTGATGCTTCCACCTTCAATTTGGAAATTGACCATTATCTTCCAAGGTGTATGCTTCTTTGGGGGTTGGCTGTTTTGTTTTGCTTTTTTATTTGCACCACTGGCTCACAGAGCTCTGTCCCATCCCACACCGTGGATACAGCAGAATGTATAGTGTTATGTACCAGGGGCATGCTTAACAACATTAAACTGAGAACAGGGGGGATGTGCCATTCAGTAGCATAAAAGGCCAATGTGTTTGTATCCATAAACTCCACTGATGGTATGGGAGTGCGGTCAAGACTAGCTGATGATGCCTGTTGGTGTTTAACAGTCTTGATAGTACAGGCCAGGGATGTTATACTGAGGTTAACTTGATTATTCTGTAATCTTGTATGAATTGATTATTGGTCACACAGGAGAACATTGAAGTTTTATTTGTATTCACTTGGGAGAATTACCTACTTTCCAGTGATTAAGGAGATTGAATTAAGAAGAGGAGCTCTTACCACACCAGAAAAGGAGGAGGGGGAGTTATGAGTGAGCACAGGTCTCCCAAAACAGGAGACAAGGGAGAGGCCTCTCTCTGTTTTATTATTATTTGTATTACTGTATCACCTAAGAGCTCCACTCCTGGACCAGGATTCTATTGTGCTAGGTGCTGGACCGACACAGAACAAAAAGACTGTCCCTGAAAACGTACGATCTTTAGAGAGGTGGGAGAGCTGTGTTCCCCACCCCATCTCACCCTTGTTTCCCCTTACTTTAACATCTACTTACCTCATGCTTATCAGGAGCGATGAAATTCAGTTGGCCATTTGAGTCATACAATATAGAGAAAGCAAGCTCAAGCACCTCCTGGAAGAACACAGTCATAAAGAAACCCATATTAGAAGTCCATAAGAAAGAGTCACACATTCACACCTTGCTCTCTTCCCTGCCAACAACTCTGAAGAAAACTGAAATACTTTACCGTATGCACCAGAATAAAATGATACTCACCTGAAACTCTACTTCATTTCCGGCCAATACTGCCATGGTGCCAGCATATCACAAGAGACACTGACAACAACAGAACCAACACTGGTGCCAATGGGGTTTAGGCAAAGCTAAAAATCTGAAATGAGTAGCAGTGACAGTGTGGGGTTCCAACTTAGGCTACAGTTTGGGTTTGGGTTTGAGCCGTGCCATGGCTAGGGTCTGAGATCAGAGACACCGAAACCTCGCAAAGCCATAGCCCCATAAGACAGATATCTCACAAGGACAGTTCGTTTTGTGATATTTGTGCCATTGTTGATGCCGGAAATCTTACAAAATTATCCATTCTCAGGAGATTTCTGCCATTTTGGTTGCCATCTGAACCAGAATGGGCAAATGTGTCCCGTGCGGGTTTGGATCCAACCACACAGAGGGAAATCCCCAAGGAGCACAGAAGGCTGCCATAGCTGATTCCTCTTCCTCCTCTCAGGGCCCACTCCCACCAGTGTAGGGGGCATTTTGGGGATGGGAGGGGTGTGTGTTCAAACAGACCTGCACTCTGGTGCTTCCCACTAATGTAACACCCTCTAGAAGGTCATTACAAGCTGGTGTAACATAAAGCAGCTCTGTAGCTACACAGAGTTACCCTGAATAATATAAGGAAGGAAGGCAGAAACATGGTGAAAAGCTACCTATGTGTTTCTCCTCACGTGCACTTCCACTGTTGCCTCCAAGAATCTGGCCCACAGTATAACCACCTTCAAACTTTTCCACCACTCCACCCCCGCCTACATCTCTACCCTCATTTCTTCTACTCTCGCTCCCCCCACTCCTCATGTTCCAGCCCAAGCTTCTCTCTTCACTACCTCGTTCAATTCCTTCCCGTTGCAGATTCAGTGCCTTATTCCATGCTGTTTTCTCTGCATTGTACAGACTCCTAAATCAGGTGCCAACTCCCTACCTCTCCTCCTTTGAACCCCTTCTGAGAACTCAGGAGTCCCACAAAACCTACTGGCAATAACTTCCACCTTCCATGCTCTGCTCTTCAAAAATGCCACATCTGTGTGTCTACTCAGATTGTAAGACCTTTGGGTTGGGCAGCCGGGGTCTGTGTATGTGTGTGTGTAGAAAATCTGGCTCTTGCTTTTGTTTAACAGGTCATACTTGCTGCAAGTCCATGTAAGCTCTAGAGCTATATTATAAACTCTGACACAACACTAGGTACATAAGTGGTGTCTAACAAATACTGTAATAATAAGGCTAAATTAATAAGTTTCTCAATGTGGTTCACATTCTTATTTCCATTTCAAATGGTTTTAGAGAGCATATAGTGCTACAAATAAAAAATGTTAGCTCCTCCCATGCAGTAGCTGCATCTATCTGAGATATTACTGTTTTTGTTGTTCAGTTATAAAGATCTCAAACAAGGTTTTTTTTTGAGGGGGAGGTTGGAAAGAGATGATCAGTTTTCTCCCCTATGTCTCTGAACTGGAATTTTCAAAGGAGCCTAAGGGAGATAGTTAAGCATGCAACCCCTATTGAAAGTCAATGGGAATCAAGTTCCTTTGAAAATGCCAGCCTATGTAAATAAATAGTCAGCATTTATCAACAGTGACCACACTGCTATCTAAGGTACTGTGGTATTTCCATATCCTGAAACTAGCAAGTAGATGTGGTATATCTGTTATTGTAGCATGTCTCAATATCAACTCTGACTGGTTTTTACCGCACGCTAACAGTCATTAGTGAAGTGACTAGTGTGGCCTCTACTTGGTGGACTCAGAAATATTCCCCTCCATATCATGGGCCCGGTTCTTTTTACCCCCTTGCTTCCTGGTCAGTGGCCCTATAACACTGATTGTCTTTACTGGCTCTCTTGAAGGAGAGAAGAGAGTCATACAACAATTGTTCCTACACTGTTAGAAGCTACAGGAGCACTGCTTCCTACATTCACGATATTGAGGATCAAAAATGAAACAACTGTAAATCTGTGGTGGCTATAGCAGATATACCAGACCAGATTTGATCACAGGTACACAGAGCCAGAGTAGCTCCATTGCCTTCAGTGGAGTTACTCCAGATTTACACTGGTGTAACAAGACCAGAATCTGGATTACAAACTTTAAGTTACACCCTATACATACTTGATCTGGTTGATCTGAAACTTCAGTATCACATGGCGAAAATTCTTGCTTTCCTCAGGGCGTGGGTATTATCTCAAACTTGCTGTATTTCTAGAACATACAAAAGGAGCTCTCTGGGTTAATTCCCAGAGGAAGCAACAGCTCCTGGCTCTACAGATGCACTCAGCTATCAAATTGCTTATAGTTCATGCAGTTATTTTCTGTTTTAGGCATGTCTCTCTCAAGCGTATCTTATTAAGAGTAATGACTGCATTCCAGAACCAAATTTACCCCTGCCCATACAAGCCTGGCCTTATCTCCTCGCAGAGTGTTATCAATTACTGACATCAGAAAATGCCAAGTCGTGAAACAAAATGCGCAGGGGAGGAAGCCTGTACTATGAAGCTACTGAGTTTCCAGAAGGTCACCAACAAATCCTGTACATAGGACTGGGGATGTGAAAGAACCAATAACAAACAGTATGATGCTCCAAGCTCAGCCTTTCTGTCAGATATCTCCTTCTCAACATTCTCCAGCTAACTCTTCCCCTCAACTCACTACCTGGGTTGAAGACCCCACTGGTAATGGATCCAATCCCAGCTCCTGCCTATATCCCTGCATGCCATGCCCTGTAGTCATTGCCAAGTCTTGCACCCATTTTGCTCTATTATCACTCCCTTCTCTCCCCCTTTCCCATGTTCCCTCGTTTGCCTTTTTGTCTCTTTTGTCTTTTTTTTGCTGGGTCTTACTTTCAATTTTTCATTCAGTCCATTAACTTTCTCATTGTTATCTCCTTCCCCTTTCTGCCTCCCTTTGAAAACCCAGTTCTCAACCTCTCTGTGTTCACTTCTTCCTTCCAACTCTTTTCACCAGCTCCTCTCTCTGTCCCAGATCCATCCTTTCTCTCACAATCCTCCAATTTGCTCCCTACTTCCAACTCTGTTTCACTTCCTCCCCTGCAACCATTCCTTCATCACTTCTAACTTCTCCCTCTCGCGCACTCTCTCTCTTCCTTTCCCCTCCTGGTGAATTCTTCTCTGCCCCTTCCTGTATTTACAAGAGGAATCAATGCTTGGAACCAGAGATGTCTCTCTCATTGAAATAGAGTGTGAACACTCTGCTTAAAGTTACTAGCCACTCCCTGCTTCAGCCTCATGGGGAATCCTTTACAGAAGAGATGTGAGCAGACAGGATCAGGGAGCAGGGCAGCTTTTGATAATCAGATTTGCTACTGGTTAATTGTTATGCTGCCAGTGCCTAAGGCCGAGGAGCACAAGCGATCACATGCAGCTGAAACCACCATGTGAGTGTCCTTCCACCTCATCCTGAGTGGTCTCATGGTTCCTACAGCCCACATCACAAGTTGGGAACCACCGGCCTATTAAGCCAATGCCAGAGCAGGATGGTTCCCACAGTACACTACCTAGAATGTGTGCTGGTGTTCTTGTTCTGTGATAACCAAGGTGAAATCAAAGAGAACAGATGTTTCTGAAGAACGGAGAAGTAAGTAGATTAATTTCCGCTCACTAAAAATTCTCCACAGATGGAGAAAGTAAATAAGGAAGTGTTATTTACTCCCTCACATAACACAAGAACCAGGGGTCACCCAATGAAATTGACAGGCAGCAGGTTTAAAACAATCAAAAGTAAGTATTTCATCACACAACGCACAGTCAACCTATGAAACTCGTTGCCAGGGGATGTTGAGGAGGCCAAAACTACAATGGGGTTCAAAAAGATTTAGATAACCATTGATGGACCTATTCTCCATGAACTTATTAGCCTGGATGGGCAGGGATGGTGTCCCTAGTCTCTGTTTGCCAGTAGCTGGGAATGGGCAACAGGGGATGGATCACTTGATGATTCCCTGTTCTGTTCATTCCCTCTGGGGCACCTGGCATTGGCCACTGTCGGAAGACAGGATACTGGGCTAGATGGACCTTTGGTCTGACCCAGTATGGCTGTTCTTATGTTCTTAAACCTACCAAGTCAGCAAATGGAAGGGATGACTGGGGAATACCCACGGCTAGATGAACATGTCTCTCATACTTCCTTGTTAAATGGCTTTTAAATCAAATACAATTCATTTGCATAAAATATATTAATATTATATGAGAGGCACAAATGAGCCTAATAGTGAGTCTTAAAAATTGAACCCAATTTAAAACGTGAGCAAGACTAAACAACCATGGATTCAAATCTGCTTCTATCAAGCCATTCAAGTTTCATATGGCATCAAAATTCCAGTTCAGCTTTGTTCCTATTTATTTCTAAATGATCCCACTGGAAGAATAAGGGCTGATGTTGGCCAATGGAGAAATGATGAAGCCACTGTTAAGAACATTCTGCCAATTCTATTCCTGTGTGTAACACTGTCATTCTCTCATTTAATTTTCTTTTCTTCCAATGAATACACATTGTTAGATATAACAAGCACCTTAATGTGTATATTTCTCTCTCTCTCTCTCTCTAGGTCATAACATGATGAAGGTGTCCTTTCAAATCCTCTCTTCAATTGTGAAACTTCAACCTACACTCTGTGTTTTGTAAATACAAAGAAAACAGGGTTTGTGAGATTTTGATACATCATTCTCAGCTGTCAAACTAAATTAAACTAAAATTTAGCTAAGCAGTGCTGCAATATTCTGCACAGACTATTAAAATGTTGCAGACATTGTGCATAGAGTCTGTATTACACAATAACTAACCTTCCAAATTCTGCTATTCCTAAAGCAGAAAATGAGGACATGGAAAAATCAACATCATAAATGGAGTAATGACAAAAATGACTACAGTCTGAACCAAAAACTGAATTCAACAGCTATGGATGTAATTATGTTACCTATCAATTCCTGACCTCCACATCTTTGGTTAGCAGCTTTATGTCAGTCTATTGCAATTTTACCCTAGGAAATGGAGCATTACTGACTGCTGAGGGCATACAAATCTGTAGCCCTTCTATTTAGCATTAAACTCTATTTAAAGACTGCTGCTTTATAAAGATGACAAATTTTCCATCACCCACTGTATGGTTTCTGTCTTTGTTTGTGTGGACAAATGAATGCCAAGATAAGGAAGCACTAAAAATACTTCATCTATATCATATAGTTGCAACAGACAAATGCTGTTGATGTCTCAGATGCAGCAATAAGTCGGAGCTATGTGCAATCTATTGCGTGTATGTGTGTGTTTGTGTTCTGATTCAGAAAATTAACCAGGAAAATGTTTCCTTGCTTTTTTTTTGTTTGGCTTTGATTTTCATTTGATAAGGCTTTTCATTTTCAATCAGGAATATTCTATAGTGAAAGAAGATAAGGGTAAACTCTGTATTTCAAAATGACTATTCTGCTCTATGAGCCAAATACAACTGAGACTAGTTACCTGCATGGGAAACATACGCAAACAGAGCTTCTGAGATGGTCTGTCTCTCCAGCCATCCTGCACTCATCAGTGTAGTATCTTAGAATCAGTCATTGAGGGAACAGCTAGTTTCAGCTGTCTCTACCTGTCCTCATCTCTTTCTCATTGTAGGAAAAGACCAGAGGTGGGAATGGACAGACAAAGGTACATTGCAATGGTTACGGGGGGAAGCTTTCACTGCACCCACCCCCACAATGCCTGGCTCCAGATCTGTCTTTAGTCCTATGCTTTCATGAACATTAAACACACACATTTTGTTTTCAAAATTAAACACTACTGAAGTAGGAAATCCTTTTTTAAATATTTTATGCTTCAGAATCTTTCTAAGCATCACAACTAGAGGTGGATCCAAAGCAGAACTTCAAAATATTCCTAATTTCAGGCATTGATAGATTCAGATTCAAATCCCCTGGCTAGAACCCTGTGGTTTCAAGTCAGATCCAAAGCAATGAGGGTCTTATTCCCCCACTGAAATTCATATGCAGAACAGGTTGATGGAAGTCTCATGAATATACCTGTTGGCCAGGGATTTCCACCTTTAAAGATGGCAGAATTTTCCCAAGATCATCGGATCTCCCAAGCTCTCGTAATTGGGAATTAACTTCTCAGCAAAAAAAAAAAAGCAAGATTTTAGCACTATGAAACCTGAACACTAGTGCTAGCTTCAGCTTCTTGAACCCAACCTCTGAAAAATATCCTAAACCTAATCTGGATCTGAACACTGCACCTCTTCTCAATCCCACTGTAAGACTGAATGCATCATTGCCTCCTTAGAATTCAAATATCACATAGCATCCTTTCATCAGCATCCATTTCACACCTGGGTTTTCTAGCACACCTCAATCTGAAATTACTATAAACTGGACATAAATTGTATCTTTGCTGTGTGACAGATGCAGTGACAGATTCATCAGAGAATATGGTAAGCACAATTTATTTGTTTAATGAGGATAATGTTTCAGCATGTAACATCATTAGGCCACTCATCAATAGTTATTGCTACTCTGTTAGACTCCCTGGAACCCAGCAGGAGCCAGCACTACTGATCACTTCTCCGTATGTGTTGTGTTTATCCACAATTATCACAATGCACAGATGCCATGAAAGTTAAACATAGGGTTGAGCCCACTCAAGTAGGCTTGTCTAATAATTTGACTCACATGGTCTTAGATGAAAACAGAAAAAGACAGAAAAATAGAGAATATGTGTGTGTGTGTATGTTCACATACAAATGGATTTGCAGCAAGCCAGAATGCAGTTATTTCAGGAAAGGTCATGTTCACAGTCTTTGTACTCTGCAGAGTGAACAGTTATAATAATTTGAAAGTCATACCTTGTTTTGTTTAAGAGCACCTTTCTCCTTCATGTGAGGGCAGTCCTTCCCTGTCACAACTGCTTTTATATCTGCCACAGGTACTGCATTCAAAAAAAGAAAATGAGTGTAACCAAAAAGTGTAAGAGCTGTGCTGTCAAACAAGAGGCAAAACTGATGTGTCAAAAATTCCAGCTACTATGCCATTACCAGAGTCTGCTGTGAAAAAGGAAACTAAGCAAAACAACTGAAACAGGCATCACTGAGCCTTAACATAATGGATTCAAGTTTCACATGTCCAGATGGAAATATGAACTAGGATTCTGCGTTCTCCCTCTTGTTGAGACTTTTGATGGAAAATGGATTTTGTGTAGATGTGTATAGGGTTTATGTACACTCACACCTCTAGACCAGAGATTTTCAAACTGTGGTCCACAAGCTCCATTCAGGTGGTCCACGGATAGTACCCTCTAAGGTTCACGCCTGGGTGGCCGAACACAAGTGAATGAAGGGCTACCCACCTAATTAGTTGAGCCACGCAGGTGTGGCTCCACTAATTAGGTGCCTGGACCCTGGAGAAGACGCACATGTAAGGTGAGGTGGTGGCCTGGGGGAGAATAGGGGATAAGTGTGAGGAAGTAGTGGGGTAAGAGGAGGTGGGAGGAATTTGGACGTGCAGTGTAGCGGTGGCCAGAGAAAGAGGTGACTTTCCCCAGCTCCAGGGCTGTGGCAGCCAGGGAGAGATGGCTCTCCTTCCCAGCCTCAGCTCAGGGCCTGCCCCGGCAGGGGAGAGAGGGCACATCCATCACATTAGAAAGGTAAGGCTACTGATATTAAAATATGAGTTGTGTGCTTTTATTTGTAGAACAAAAAAATGTTAATTGTTGTTAAGTTTTTTTTATATAACGCTTTTATCCAAAGCATTTTACAATAGTTAGCTAATGGTACAAACAACATTTGGAAAGATCATTAAGTGGTCCGCCAAGACCCTCAGCAATTTTCAAGTGGTCCGCGAAAAAAAAAAAGGTTGAGAACCATTGCTCTAGACAACATATAGCATATATCTGTCTTATTAATTTAGATATAACTTTTTTATGTTGTTTTACACTTTATCAATGACTGACTGCTCAATCACACACTTGTGATTTTGATGGGGAAGCTATATAAAGTTTAGAATGACCAACCATCACTGTTTTTTAAAAAAAATAATTTTTAAAGTAAATTCATTAAAAAAAGTTTTGAAAAGTTGCATTTGTCACAGTCTCTGCAGGAGTAAACTTGGTGAGGTCACTAGAACACAGAGATAAATGCATCTGTGCTTCAAGTGGAAGTCAATTTTCCGGCAGTAATTACATTATGGAAAATCTATATACTTTAAATATAATATGGTCAGTGAATGACAGAAAGCTTCTACAATCTATAAATAACCCATTATCTTGTGACTTTGGAAAAGGATCATATGGAGCAGAATAATAACATGAAAGTCTGTCATTGCTTGAGCCCTTAGAATCTCTAATGGAAATGCTACAGTAGAGAATGCATTTTTCCCCCGATGGACTCAGCAGCAGAACACATATTTTATGTATTATATATGTGTCTTCTCTAGCCAAGACAACAAGCTGTTGTATCACTCACAGTGTTATGGTTGAAAAGACAACACAAAATATTAAAATACAATGCCATTTTTAATGGATTTTTTTTTACATACAGTAAACCATAAGCAGCAGAAATTATTCCTGGGGTTATCCATTCAACCTCTCCTCCTTCGGTCTACTTTAGGGTTTTAAAGTGCCAACCATCACTGGAGTCTCTAAGCAACTTCCCCATAGCAAAGATGGCGATAGCCGTAGCAAAGTCCCTAGTGGACTCCATGAAGTCATTGTCACTTTTCTCTTTTTAGGGTCAACACTCTGCTTGAGGTAGGTTTTTTTGAGGAACTGGGAGGATTTGGGGAATAAAAGGGAGTGTCTGAGTTGTGAGTATCACTTATGGTGAAAAGACTTTCTCTAAACTGAAGGCTTTGTAATGTTTCCTAAATATGGTCAGACTCTGAATTCACCTGATCTCATCTGGAAGGTTGTTCCATAGCCAGATCCTCTCTACTGAGAATTTTGGTTCCCAGATCTCATATGCTTTGCCCTGGGTTTTGTGATCTGTATTGTTCCAGAAGTATGCAGCTGTCATGGTGATTCATAAGTCAAAATTTGGTCTTTGATGTAGCTGGGGCTTGATACATTAATCGCTTTGAAAATTAAGACCATTGCCTTAAACTGGCATTGAAAGCTGACAGGGAGCCAGTGGAAGATCTTGAGCATGGGTCTGACGTAGCCTAAGCCATAGAAGAGGTGGGCAGCTGCATTCTGTGCCAGCTGGAGCCTATGCATAATCTTCACATTCAGCTTCAGATACAATCAGTCACAGTATTCCAGCCTGGATATGACCAATGCATGGATTATTGTGGCTAAATCCTCATCTGGGAGGAATGGACCAAGTTTCCTAGCAAACTGTATATGAAAGAAGGCATTTTTGAGAACTGATGGTACCAGTTCATCCAAACTTAGTGAGCAGACAAAGAGGACCCCCCTCTCCACAAGCCACCTCGGTCTCATTTTTCTTTCCCTCATCCCCTTTCCCCTACTGGTTCTCCCCCTTCTGCATTGGGGAATGGGAAGAGAGAAGGACCACTGTGTGTTCCCCTTTGCTCACCCGATGGCCAGGAGGAGCGAGAAGGCTTGTCCAAAGCTGGCAGTGGAGAGCACAGTAATCTTTATGTCTAGGAGAGTGTAGGTCAGTACACTCAGATGGTAGCAAATCTCCGTAGTCCCACATTATATATAGGGTGACTCAAAAACTAGGGAGTCCGCACTTGGTCACAGGTTTTGTAGGTTCCCAAAGCTAGTTCTGCTTGGCATGTCTTGAACAGTAGCACCTTATTATTGGGCTCTATTTACATGAGTCGGATGGTTCTCATGTTCCATTTAAACTAATTCCTAATGTAATGGCTGCTGTGGTAATCCATGTGTCCCCCTGAGCCTGAAAAGTCTGTGACACTCAAGGAATGGTGGCCCTCCCTCAAATTCTGTCACTATCTAATTCACTTGGTCATCCGACATACACATTTTATGGAGGATGGGGCCCAGTCACTAGAGCCACAGTTCAAGAGTGGGGTTCACTGCCTCATCTTTCACTCCAAAGCCACTGTAATATTTTTGCCCTATTTCTCTAACTGCAGAGCAAACAAATAGCTTTTCCCAGCGCCAATGCTTTAGTGCAGTGATCAGAAACCCTGTCCTAGATTCTGACAAAGGACTCCAGTAAAAGCACCCTTGAGGCAATTCTGTACAGCAATGAAAATAAGTGAATGTGACTGTAAAATGCCACTGTCATGTGACTCCAGCTAGGTGTGTCACTCTCCCAGGCCAGCATAAAGCAGCACCCAGACATTTTTATGGGATGGGGGCAGAACAAAGATTTTGATTTCATTATCCCAAAGGTTTGTGTTAATTGATTAATAAAAATGAATCAGTGTAAGAAGTTTAGGTTATTAAGTTACAGTAACTCCTTGCTTAACGTTGTAGTTATGTTCCTGAAAAATGCTACTTTAAGTGAAACGATGTTAAGCAAATCCAATTTCCCCATAAGAATTAATGTAAATGGGGGGGTGGGGGGGTTAGGTTCCAGGGAAATTTTTTTCACCAGACAAAAGACATATATATATATAGTGTGTATGTATGTGTATACACATACATTAAAACTTATACTGTGTGTGTGTATGTATGTGTACACATACATACGCACACACACAGTATAAGTTTTAAACAAACAATTTAATACTGTACACAGCGATGATGATTGTGAAGCTTGGTTGAGGTGGTGAAATCAGAGGGTGGGATATTTCCCAGGGAATGCCTTACTGCTAAATGATGAACTAGCTTTTGGCTGAGCCCTCCAGGGTTAACCCATTGTTGTTAATATAGCCTCACACTCTACAAGGCAGCACAAATGGAGGGAGGGGAGACAGCATGGCAGACAGAGACACACACCCTGTGTGTGAGAGAGAGGAGAATTATTATCCCTGTTTTACAGATGAGGAAGTGAAGCAATAAGAGATTAAACAATTTTCTCAGGGACACAGAGGAAGGCTGTAGCAGAGTCTGGAATTGAACCCAGATCTCACAAGTTCCCGGGCCACAAGAGCAGATCTATGCCACCCATGGATTTGCAAAGACAAGATCTGGCCACTCATTTTGGGTTTCATAATAAGATGAAGCTAAACAAGAAAATTGAGGTGAACAATCCAAATGGTGGCATAAATTGACTGGAACTGCTCACATCCTTCTGGGTAGAGCTGCCATTGGATAGCCTTGAAAAAAATACACACTTTACAAGCTCTACCATTACTGCAGTCTGACAAACTCTTTATAGACTGCACAGAGGTCTGTACTTGAGAAGAATGCTTGTGACAAGATATACCTTAACCAGAGGAGGCATGGCATACTGGGCCCATTAATGGAGCTATTTATATTGCATTGTCTTAAAAGCAAATAAGTAACTTAAACATTAACTAATAGAAGAGCCAGCACATTTACATGACTTACATTTATCCTGCAAAGAATCATGGGGAACTTCTCCCTGTGGACTTTCTTCCAAGTCTCCGTAGTGCAAGACCTTGTGATTGGGCGATAATCGACAATACCAAAATTTGTCTGATAAAATAATACATTAAAAAAGGTTACCATCTGTTTTCATCTTCATCACCAATAGCACAGGAGAAAAGTTATTCATTTCATATGCTAAACTGCAGGGAAGTAGTATTATGTAATGGTTAAAGAATGTGTGATGTGTTTTGGGGAGGGCAAGGACTTTGCCTGTTCACGATAATTCACTTAATTAAGAAGAGTCTTTGAACTGGTCCTCTTGCAGCATTTCTATTTTCATTCAGCCACTATTTACGAAAACCAGTGTTAAACAAGAATGACTTCCTTGGTTTTAAACTCTTCTGGGAAGAGACTTGGGCTAAGGTTTTCAAGAGAAACTAGTGACTTTGGGTGCCTAACCTGAGATGCCTTTGAGGGGACTGTTTGGAAGAAGTGCAGAGTGCTCAGTAATTGAGAACCAGACCCATTTAAGATGTCTCAAATGGAGCACCCAAAAATGACTATTTACATTTGAAAACTGTGGCCCTTGCCTTCTGATATGCTTTATAAAGCGTCATGTACATTTACTGTGTTACAGAACATAATAATAATTTCCCAATAGTTTCAATAACTACATCACCAAGACCCTTATTCTATAGATAACAAATAAGTCATTACTTTATATGTCCACAAATGCATATTGTTTGTCTTTTTTCATTTTAGCCTTCTCTCGGAGCCCAAGTACATTTACACTTCTTCCCATCTTCAGCTTCTTCAGTTATTATTCCGCTTAACAATATTTGCCAAGAACTGCTACCACTAATATTTTTGCTGGCAGAGCCAGACTAAAATACTAGCTAATGTATAAGGTCACTGCCTGCCAATTCCCTTTCTGAAAGGATAACTCCAGACTACCACCCAGGTACCAACCGTACCACAGCACCTCTAATAAACAGACCACAGTACGCTGTCAGAAATGCAATTTTGTTACACCTGAACTACGACTCTCCTAAAACTTTGAGCAAGGTTGGACAAAATAGTGGTTAAAATGCTAGTGGATCCCTAGTGGCTTGTCTACATCAGCCCTCCCATCATTTCTATCACCAGAGGAGTGGCACCCATGGTGAGAAATTTTAGGGGAAAAGGCTAGCATGGACACAGCCCCAGAGCACTATACTAACTCACTGGCTTCATGAGCCTGACATTTTTAGGAATCCTGTAAGCCCCACTGTTCATGCTTTAAAATAAATTAAACAACCACCTAATGGAGAGACATGATTGAACATCATAGATTTTTTAAACTGTGCATGTGATCCCCCCTTTTAGCTATTTTTCACTGTGTATTAGCTTTTTTCACTCAGTAAATGTGCAAAGATGTTTGGAAAATAATAAATGCAAATATTTTTCCATTTATGTACCACCTTCTCCTGAAAGAACTCAGAGCACCTTATGAACTATGGTGAGAGAGTCTGATTTCAGTTATACAAGCATAAATCTGGAGCAACCCCAGAGTTAATTGATTTACTTTTGTGTGCCCAGGTTTAGAGTCTCGTGCTACGTATATAAAGTGCCACTGAAACAGAGCTAGCCCTGGGATGGAAGGCTGCATGTAACTAGCACATAGTGTGTTGCACAGCACTGGGGAGAAGGGAAATTGTAGTCGAGAAACCAGAAGTCTGCTTACCAAAATGTTATATGGGCTTCATAAGAGAGAAGACAGGGCCCTCAGTTTATATGGTCTTATATGAAGGACCCATAATAAACTGCTTGGCATTCAATTTATGAGTCTTGGAAGAATGTATGGTGAATGAATTCTCCCTGGATTTGAACATCTGGTTCCAGGTAGTTTTACCAGAAATGTTTCAAACCTAATGCTTAGAAAAAACTTATCCTTAGCACTGGACAGGGCCGGCTCCAGGAACCAGCTTACCAAGCAGGTGCTTGGGGCGGCCACTTCAGAGAGGGGCAGCACGTCCAGCTGTTTGGCGGCAATTCGGCGGACGGTCCCTCACTCCTGCTCGGAGCGAAGGACCTCCCGCCGAACTGCCGCCACAGATCGCGATCGCGGCTTTTTTTGTTTTGTTTTGTTTTTGTTTGGCTGCTTGGGGCGGCCAAAACCCTGGAGCCGGCCCTGGCACTGGAACAACTTGTCCTTTTCGTTCATAAAAGAGACAGTCCTATTAAATACAGTATCAGAATATAATCTCTAGCTCTAATAGCAACCCCTTCTATTCATGAGACAGTTTTACAATTTTGGACAGTACAGGAGAACATAGCTAGCAATTTCTTATGATTAAAAAAATCCTTTCTTCTTACTGAAACTTAGCATGGCCTTACTATAGTCTCAATACCTTTGGGCATTGAGTAAATGGATAGTGTCAATGAAGACAATTAGTATGAAACGTGGAGAGAATCATCAAAGACTATGCACTGGAGTTATTGAAGAAGCTAAAATGGACCAGATCATTAACATACTAATGACTAGAGCATTCTAATAACCTTCTTCCAGCCCCAAATATCTAAAAAACAAAAACAAAAACAGAAAATACAAATGTGAGTGCTTACTCCTTTACATTATTTTTAGGAAGCAATGGTTTTAAACTAAGAAAGCCTAGCTAGGAAGGCCAATAAAATGATTCCCAATGTCAAAAGGATAATTGAAGAACTAATAATCATAGACTGCTGCTCATAGTGTGTCCAGTGCAACTCTCCAGGAGTCTTATTCATCGTTGCCGCCATGGCAAAACTTGCTGGCAGGGGAAATGATTTAAATGAGACCTGCAAAAGGAACTAATGATATTCTGTCAGCTGTATGGTTCCAATGATCATACTACTCAGGCTGAGAGAAGGGCAACCAGGATATTAACAATTGAGAACAGACCTGGTTTTCCTTTTGGGTCTTGATACACCCATCACAGCCACAGGCAGCTGGTTTTCAGCGTAATAATAATATAATATTGGCTTGATGCACCATCTTTAGGGATCTCCGCTTTACAAGGGATCATGTTGGTTTATGGGAGTTGTGTGAAGTAGTGCCGGTGCTATTTTACTACATGGTAGGTTTAGTAAATGTTTTGATTCCGTTGTTTTTTAAACTAAAGGATAAACTAAAAAAGGACCCATGCAAAATGGTGCTAAGTAATAAGAAAAAGAGAGGACACCATGTTTATGGTTAGGGCACAAGAAATGTTAAGCTGACAAAAATGCATTTTTTGTCTTCCAGCTCCAAACAAATGAAAAGAAAATACAAGTGCAAGTTCTTACTTATTTTAATCATTTTTAGGAAGAAGCAGTTTTAAATCAAGAAAGCACAGATAGGAAGGCCTCTAGTGCTTTTAAAAATGATTACCATGGTATCCAGGTACTGTGCCAGGATTTAAAAGACTGGAAAGGAATTTCAAAATGGAACTTCAACTCTGCACTCTGTAAAGTTGTGGGTCTGTGCATATATCTGCAGAAATTTTCTCTTCCTTGGTGAAATGGTCAGATCAAAATTGGGCAGCTTGCATTTTGCCCTGAACACTGTTAGTCTTAGGCTGAGTCTGATTTCCCTTGGTAGAGATGCTCCATAGTCTAGGGCCCTTTGCTGAGATGCTGGACACAAGACCCTTAATTTTTCATCTAATGTTATACATGCTCTGATAAAACTCTTATTTAGAATGGGTGGCGTTGTGATAACTGGGTGTACAAATTTATCCTAATTGTTAGCCTAACTGGTAAAAAGTGGGTAACGGTTCAAGAATTATCACCATGACCTGTTACATAAAACTACTTAAGAAAAGATGTGAGAAGAAGACAGAAAGATTAAGCTAATTTAAACAAAAAAGAGTTTACTGATACCACTCAAGGACTGTGTTAAAATTGTGACTGGTAAACCAGAGGAGTAGAGAGTCAGTGGACTAAAATTGGTGCTTTGGAAATTAGGCTTAATTGGTGGGCAAAATAAACAGAGGATGGATTATTCCACTCATCACCTTTTCGGGGCCCTTAAAAAAAGAGACTTTGGGGGAGAAAAATAAAACTTTTTGCCATCACTGTGGGAAGGGTTGTTGCTGTGACACCAGACCTTGATATTCCAGTGAGGCTGTCTGATGATCATTGCTGCATCAGTGAGGATCCCAGCCTGATACAGGTGAAATCTTGCTGTGTCTTCCCCTCCTTGCATGTTCCTTTTCATCCCCAATCCTCTTCCTCCTATTCTCTCTTTCTCTCAGCTTTTCATCTGATCCTGAGATTAACTGTATTGCACAGCACCAGCATGGTGAAATGAGATGGCCCATCCAGAAATGCTCAGCCTGGGAAGGACCAGTGAAGGATAGGAACCTGACCAGACCAATCGGATGGCATCCCTGAACAGGGAAGTGAGCCAGAGTCCAGAACATCCGCTATCATAGCCAACCTGCCAGCCCAAAGCAGCCATCCATGACTGAGCAGTCACCCTCTATCCTAAGAACATCAACAAAAGCCATATTTCCCTGATCTTTACTATTCTACCTCTTCTCTCCCTTCTGCATCTGTCCATGTTTTTAAAAGCAGGAAAGACTCAATATTTAACAGAAATAACCCTTTCCTCCCTTCCAAGGAGAATTGTTCGACTGAAAAGAGACTTTAACCAGTATTTACCGTCTCCACAAAGGAACTTTAACAGGTGTTTGGTTTTCATAATCAGCCAATTTCAATGCTTTTTGCCTTGTTTTGATTTTTTTCTGCTCTTTTTCCTTTTCATGTGTTCCAATCAATACATTTCTAACCTTTGGCAAGAACTGCCTAATGTGATTCCCATTGTATTAAGCAGGCTGAGGTCTGTATATCAAACCCAAACCTTATTTAAAACTGTTTAATATTGGATAGTTTCAGGGTCATGTTCACACCTTTAACTCTGTGGGCCTATAAATTCATCTAAATTAATACAACAGTAGTTTCTGGGAGGATAACTATAAGAAACAGTATTGAGTGACAAAGAAGGGCCATGATTTATTTGTACTCACAACTACCATGCTATTAAAACCTCCTAGCCATTTCTTAAGTCTGGTTTGCTCACTCTCATTGAATTACTGATGTTATTAGGG